ATATATATATATATACTGTGTGTGTGTGTATATATATATATATATATGTGTGTACTCAGCCGCCTGAGGAAGTAGAGTCTCTGATGAGCTTTCTTGATCAGGCTGGTGGTGTTGTTGCTCCAGCTGAGTTGTCATTCAGGTGTACACCCAAGTACTTGTAGCTGGAGACCACTTCCACCGCAGATCCTCTTATGTTCAGGGGGGTGTAGGTGTTTTTGTTTTTACGTATATACGTGTATATATATATGTATGTGTGTGTGTGAGTGTGTGTGTGTTATAGATCAGCTGCAGGTGGAAGCTTCTCCCACAGCTGTGGGCTGCACACAGGTGCTAAATCATTTAAAATAATTTATTTTAAATTAAAAATCCATGCTTATCGTGCGGCTCATCCATCAATCAGCCAATTGTGTGTCATGTCCAGTCTTACTTTGAAAATTCGCAATAGAGCGAGTCCTCAAATGAACTGCAAAGTAGCGAGGGACTACTGTAATTACCATTTGTGATCACCCCCACCCCATCTCATTGTACAGCCGCCCACTCTGAGAAAGAACACCTCACTGAGCACATTTAATAGTTTGTGTCTTGAACTCTCCTTAGGTGGTAAATTAAAGTGTTTTACTGTGATAGTTTATGATGGATGGGACCAGATGGTGTCAGATGACGTTAGATGGTGTTGGTGTTGGGTAGGGTCAAATGGTGTTGGTATTTGATGATGTCAGATGGTGTTAGATGATGTTGGTGTTGGATGGTGTCAGATGGTGTTGGTGTCGGATAGGGTCAAATGGTGTCAGATGGTGTTGATGTTAGGTAGGGTCTAGTGGTGTTAGATGGTGTCAGGTGGACAGATGATGTTGGGTAGTATCAGATGGTGTTGGTGTCAGGTAGCTTCGGATGGTGTCAGGTGGTCAGATGGTATCAGATCGTGTTGGTGTCAGATGGTGTAAGGTGGTAAGATGTGTTGGATGGTGTCGATGATGTTGGTGTCAGGTGGTGTTGGATGGTGTCATGTGGTTGGATAGTGTTGGTGTCGGATAGTGTTGGATGGTGTCAAGTGGTTGGATGGTGTTGGTGTTGGATGGTGTCTGTTGGATGGTGTCAGGTGGTCGGATGGTATTAGATATACAGCTTTTCTATTCTTTCTGACCAGTCAGATCCACTGATCCAGGGCTACTTTTTTTTGGTGTCTTGCCCTAGGGCACTGTGACAAATGCTAGGCATTGCTTGGATCAAACTGTCAACCTTGGAATTGGCAGACAATCACTTTTCCTAATCCTGACCTCTGACCCTCCTCAGGCCCTCCATCAGCCCCCCGCCTCCCGGTCAGCCAGCTCAACGACACCACGGTGACTCTGGAGTGGAGTGAGCCAGTGGAACGAGGAGGCAGAGGAGACCTCACCTACAGGGTTTTATGCTTCAACTGTGGGCCTGCCAGCACCAGCAAGGTACGCCAACAGGACTTTGTAGACTATGTCGTTCAACTAGACCAGTTGAACCATTTACAGTATGGGAATGACATCAGTTAGAGCATCAGAACCCACACAAGTTAGACCAGCTAAACCATTTCAATCATGGAAATGATACCAGACATCAAGAACACTACCAGGTAAACCAAGTCAACCAGTTATACCTCAATAACATTGCCAGGTAAACCAAGTCAACCAATTAGACCTCAAGAGCACTACCAGATAAACCAAGTCAACCAGTTATACCGCAAGAACATTAC